GTGCCCTGAATCAGGAATTGCCAGTTTTCACAAGGCTAGCCACCGTTCAAAAAATTCCCGTAAGTCAGCTTGTGGCTGTGTGCATCAGTGTCAGATTGTATAGACACAGAAATACAGGGCTAGTGCTCATGAGGAACTGTCAATTGCTCACCCATGTTCAAGCATGCTGCAGGATCACACACTCCATCTTCCCTCCTCCTCCATATTTCGGGTGGAAATTCCTTCCACCCTTGCCCCTAGCAACCTTAATAGGTAATGCATCAGTACCAAAATTAACAAAGCTTTATGGCACTTCAGAGACTAGCCTATTTATCATGTCATAAGCTTTCATGAATTGGAGTCCCATTTCACCTAGCCCACAAAGCTTGTACTGTAGTAAGTGTTCTAGTCTTTAAAATGCCACAAGACTTTTGGTTTTTGCTGCAACCAACTAACACAGATGATGCAGGGTTCCACTTTAAACAGCTTAGGGTCTTTCTTTTTCCACTATTATGTTAATTTTCCAAATTACAAGAGGAGTGGCCAAGGTGAATCTCTATGAATGGAAAGGTAGAAAAAAAATCACAGTCATTAGCCTGTAAAAGCAAGAAATATGCTGGGGGGAGGGGACTAACACTGTTCAGAGTAGGTCAACCCCACTAGCAAAAAATCTGCACAAACACATCATTTTCAGCCCATATGTCAAAAGATAAATGTTTTAGTGGCTGCTTAAGCATACAGGTGCAATTTGCAAATGTTTGGCCTTAATCTTAGTTGACAAGGTCTTCTGGATGTCCCCCTAGGCCCATTGCTACAGTTGCTTCCACATGGAATAAAACACTGCCCATACCTTCACCAGCACATGGTCATAGCTTTTAGTTTACTCGCTAGTCATTCTCAATACTCTGTTCATTGCTATTGTCTTTTATGTCGATATGTATGTTACCAGGAAGCTCTGACCACAGTAGCCTATTCAGTCTCTCATTAGCACATCCCTATGACTCAGTGTTAAACTACAGAGCCTAGGGCTTGCCGATCAGGTCGGCGGTTCAAATTCCCGCAACAGGGTGAGCTCCCGTTGCTCGGTCCCTGCTCCTGCCAACCTAGCAGTTCGAAAGCACACAGTGCAAGTAGATAAATAGGTACTGCTCCAGCGGAAAGGTAAACGGCGTTTGCGTGCGCTGCTCTGGTTTTGCCAGAAGCGGCTTAGTCATGCTGGCCACATGACCCGGAAGCTGTCTGCGGACAAACGCCGGCTCCCTCAGCCAGTAAAGCGAGATAAGCGCCGCAATCCCAGAGTTGTCCGCGACTGGACCTAATGGCCAGGGGTCCCTTTACCTTTATGACTCAGTGTATTAATAGGAATGAACATACCCAGGAGCTATCACTCTACCTTCTTACTGCAAAAAGTGAGGTGATGCTTACTAGTGGTGTCAAGGACCAAGGGACATCACTGGAGGGAGCTTGGATGTGTTTTCCACACATGCCAATATGAAGAAATGCAGACACCTTTCCTGCTCCCCTCCCCTCTCTTGATTTTCACATGTTCCTGCCAAAGCCTACAATATAATTATGGTGCAATTATTTTAGAAACTAATACAATACCAATATTATGGGAACGGCTGGAGAGCTGGCTGGCACAAAGAGCAGCTGGAGCAAGGGAACAGAGATTGTCTTGAAAATAAGAAGCTGCTATCAAACTAGAGATTTGAAGAAACCACTTCCTATAACAATAGAAGTTGTCATTCACAAATGTTTTGAAGCACAAATGGTGGCTTCTAAGGCATCCACCATCAATTCAGTCTTTTAGTGATACATAGCTATGGGTTGGGTAAACCAGGACTATTGTCAGGACAGTTAGCCCATGAGTGTTTCAGAAAATATCTCAGCAATTTGATCAACCAGACCAGGACCTGTTTGCTTTATAGTCAATATCCAAGTCCCAAGGTTCATATCAAGGTTTTTTGACAGGGTGGAAGTGTGCAAGTGGAAGCATGGCCAAAGTCCTTTCTTTATATCCCCCACCGTATTGCCTCAAACAGTTGAAAACTTTAAAAGAATGGAGGTGATTTTTATAGCCAAGACAATTGGCCAAGACAATTATGGTTTCCAAAAAATGATAAATATGTTGACCTATAACCACAGGAAACTCATGAATACAAAGTACCTACTTCACTAGGGACCAGTCCTGCATCCAAGACCAGAGTTGTTCCATTTGATAACCTAGTAGCTGAAAGGATCTGGCCGAGCTGCACCGGCTCCAGGTTAATGTCATCTCATAAAGTTTTGATCAACAGATTGTACGGCACCTTAGGGAAGGCCTTAGTTTCATAGTATTCAATAAAGGTGAGAAAGCCAGGAGGAAAAGTCATATAAAATGCCCTGTGATTCTTCCAAGCAGGGCTGAACAAAATCGCAGCCATCAGCAGCATTTGCAGTTGCAAATTTAAAAGTCTTTAAAATATTTTCCTGCTCCCATTCCAAGTGTGGCCTTCTGAACTGACCCCCTCCTAACATTAGGCAGGACCAGTCTAAGAGGGAATTCTATATGGAATTGAAATTGTACCCTTATGGCTCTTATGTGACCACTTGAATCCATAGCCATATCTTTTTCAAAACTGCTTGACGTTAGAACAGTGGTTTGAGGAACTATTATATCAGCTAGAAGGATTTTGGAGCTGGGACCTCTCTTCTCCAGACCTCAGTTGTGTGTTTTCCATTCTGACAAAATGTTTCTTCAGCCAGATCCATCTTTCATACCACAAGAAAACATTGTTTTCCATAGGCTTCATGAGATAGCATTGCCTCCTGCCCAAATCTGGCTCATTCTCAGGAACAGAATTGGTACGAATTAGAGCATTTTGTTTTTGGTTAGAACAGCTACATACAGAAAGTCTGATTCCCTATTTGTGACTTTTAGTGGCCTATTAGCAGGCAAGGAGTTCACAAAAAACACCATATCCAGATGGTTTCAGCAAGCCATAGCAGAGGCACAATTGGCATTGATGGGCATCTGTTGAGGTGATGGTAGGAATTATCACCCATTCTGTTTAGGGGGCAGTGACCTCAGCAGTGTTCAAAAGAAATTACCACATTGTAGATAATATGCAGTGCTGTCACTCGGGCATCCCTCACATTATTATTATTATTATTATTATTATTATTATTATTATTAATTAAATTTCTATACCACCCTTCATCCAAGGATCACAGGACAGTTTACAATATAAAAACAAAAATGTATAACATAGCAACAAATAAAGCAATAACTTTGCCACAGTTAAAAAGTCATAGACTGTTTAATCATTCCACACATCTTTGCTTAACACTACAAAATAGATGTGTTGTCCTCTGCAGGCATAAGTTTGGGCAGGAACATTTTGCAGGGGGTGATGGTTTTGTGAAGTGCTGATCACCCAGGGTTAATACTGCTCTGACATATCCTGAAGTGAAGGAATGTTCTCTGAAACCCTCTTGAGAATATGGAAAAATCATACTATGGTTTTCTGTTCTTAGAGGCTCCCAGAGTTCATGCTGCCTCTACTTCTGGGATCAGAATAATTGCTGTATTTGTGAAAAAAGACCAAAAAAATCTGTATGTGCCACACATGTGGGATAATAGACAAATCCTTTCAAGGAGATATTGCTGTTATTGCTATTATTTATTAAATTTGTATACCAACTTTCATCCGAAGATCCCAGGGCAGTTTACAACAGAAAAATAAAAAGTGAGAATGCTGAATACATAAGAAAACAAACACAAATAACCCCAATCCCAGAAACACATTTAAAAAGCCATAGAATATTCACCTTTTCCTTCCTGTTTAGAAAAAAGCCATTTTTTTCTTCGTTTGATTTACACTTTTTCTTCTCATTCATTTATTGTTAACAGAATAATAAATTGATACACAGGAATACCTCGGGTTACAGACGCTTCAGGTTACAGACGCTTCAGGTTACAGACTCCGCTAACCCAGAAATAGTACCTCGGGTTAAGAACTTTGCTTCAGGATGAGAACAGAAATCATGCTCTGGCGGCGCGGCAGCAGCGGGAGGCCCCATTAGCTAAAGTGGTGCTTCAGGTTAAGAACAGTTTCAGATTAAGAACAGACCTCCGGAACGAATTATGTTCTTAACCCGAGGTACCACTGTACATTGATTTTGTTGGCATTAAGACATCATTGCTCTTCTAATTTGGTCTGGGAGTGCACGGTGGCCCCTCCCCCTAGAGAGCCATCTGAATAATTTTTGGATCATGCTTATCAGAAGCAGAGCCATCCCAAAAATGGAAGAATGGTCTCTGTAAGATTCTGGGAGCAGAAGTATGTGAAAGTGGAAGAGAGAAGATTTTGTTGACAGGATGACTCCTCTCTGGATCTGATGCCTTCTCTTCTAAGACGAGGAACATGGATGTGGTTTTTAGGGCGCCCCCTATACCTTATATAGAGCACATGATGTTTAGTTCCCCTGTAGGTCTGCATTTTCACATGATGGTGTCCCCCCCCCCCACTTCGTTTATTGCATAAGTTTTTTTGGAAAGTGGTTATAGGGTTGTTCCCTTCTCTGTCAGTTAGATCTGGAGGGTGGGACAACTCCTTTTGGCAGGTTTTTCATGAGCTCCAGTTGACTATGGGTCAGCTGTGACACCAGTCACTTATGGTGCTGCTGTCCATTTTTGATGATGGCAACAACAAGATACTTTGTAAGAGTTTATTAGTTTCCTTTTTAATTGTAGCCCTTAGGCTGGTAACCCAGTACTGTATTGGAAATTAGTAACAGGTAAATTGATGGAAATGTGATATTTTCAGATTTGGTTAGTGGCTTTTATGGGAAAACTTACCGTATTTTTTGCTCTATAAGACATACTTTTTCCCTTCTAAAAAGCAAGGGAAGATGTCTGTGCGTCTTATGGAGTGAATGCACTGGGTGACAGAGGGATCCCTCGGCTACTGCTGCAGTCATGAGCTGAGGGATGCCTCCGCAGCTGAAGCCATGGCTCCTGTCTGTCGCTCCTGCTCTGCTGGCTTCTCAACGAAGCGGGAGGAAGGATGGAAGGGGCTCCTTGTAAGGGCTCCCTTCCGTCCCTCCTCCTGCTTTGCTGGGAAGCCAGAAGAGCAAGAGGCGCTGCACTGCTCTGCTAACAGCAGAGAAAGAGAAAGAGCTGTGCGGCGCCTCTTGCTCTTCTGGATTCCCAGCGAAGCGGGAGGAGGGACGGAAGGGAGCAAGCAAAGCAAGAGCCACTTACATGGCTTTTGTCTCACTTTGTGCAGCTGTCACTTTGCTTGCCCATCTCTCCTCCCACCTTGCTGTAAAGAAAGCAAATAATAATAATAATAATAATAATAATAATAATAATAATAATAAATTTTATTTATGTCCTGCCCTCCCCAGCCGAAGCTGGGCTCAGGGCGACTAACAACAATAAAATAGTGCAACATTCTAAAAACATTCATTATAAAAATTAATTAAAATCAAATTGATGGCAACCATAAGCTTAAGTTCTGTAAAGACTGCCAAAGGAGGGACCTGTCCCGGTGTCTCTTCCTCCTCTTTTACAGCGAGGCGGGAGGAGGGATGGACAAGAAAGTGAGAGCTGCGCAAAGTGGGAGAGAAGCCATGTAAGCAGCTCTTGCTTTGCTTGCTTTAAAGCAAGAAAAGCAAGAGCCGCTTTCATGCTCTGCACAGAATTTTTTTTTCTTGCTTTCTCCCTCTAAAAACTAGGTGTGCCTTATTGTCAGGAGCGTCTTATGGAGCGAAAAATACGGCACTTGTCAATGGAAGGGAAGGAATTCTTATGTGATATAGTTTTATCTTATTAAACACTGTATGTTTCGATCAAAGAGCATGTTTGGTTTCATCCATGAGGATGAATGATAGAATGAGATTAGAGGCTGAGTTAATTTTTCTTCTGTTTATACTTGGTTAGTTGATTACTTCTATTATTGTTCCCTGATTGCTTCACTTAGCATTTATTTGTTCTTCTGTTATGGATTATATACTTGTGGAAGATTTTCTGTTGCCTGCTTGTTTTGCTCTTAAGTTTGCTGTAACCAAATGTGGAGGTATATATGCACTGAGTTTTTACTGTTTCTTTTATTTTTTATTTCTTATATGGGAAGACTGTTCTTAAAATAAAATTATGTATAGTGGTGTATTGGCATGTGTTTTCACAGTGCTTGCTAATAATGCAGCAGCTTCTACTTTAAATCCCGTAACATTACAAGTCACATGCAATGGAAGACCATAAAAAGATCCTTAAAGATAATTTGTATTCTGAATCTTCGTTATAGAAATAAATTATTAGTTGTAGAACAGGAATTATTTCAGAAGAACAGGCAACTTGGTCACTGGATTCTACATTTCAGTGCTGATCATGAAACAGAATTTGATGAAGGGAATTAACACCAGAGCATTCCGATTTGCTGAATTGGAAGCCTTTTCCATTTATGTTGCTGGATTGTCTAATTTATTCTCTTCATTGTAGTTTTGTAAATAATCCAGACTCTACCCGTGCAGCAGGATTCCTTGCATATCCTTGAAGTGTTTGTATCACTTAAGGAGAAATGTGGGATCAGCAGGACTTTTCTCTTCATATAGTTATCATATAAATATTACTAAAGTGCCCACTCACATAAAATTAAAAATATATTCTGTTCTCAATGCAAAAGCCTAGGTCAAATAGAAAAGAGACAACAGATCACATTCATTAACAATTTTTCTGTTATAGAATTGGCCTGAGGTGATTCATATCCAAACTCATTTAAAAGAGTTTTCTTTTTTATGTAAATTTTTATGTCTTAACATTTGTGCATTGTAGCAAATTTCTGCACTGTACCTAATATAACCTAAAATTGGAAATTACCAGCAGGAGCAGTCCATTAAGCAGTTTGTTTATTTTCAGAACATCAGTCCCAAGGACTCTCAGAGCAGTTTACAATATAATCAACATTCTAATGATAAAATAAGTAAAAAGCAGAAGAAAATCAAATACCCCAACAACCAACATAGCCAGTTAAAAAATAATAATTAAAATATATAATCTAAAAGGTGTAGAACATGTTTACTTGATCACATTTGAGGACATCCTTTCCACAGGATGATGTCCTCCCTCTGGATGTGACAGGAGGGTCTTGAAGTTTTGCCTCCATCTCCAGGGGAAGAAGTCTTCCAACCCTACAGATCTTCCATGCCTCAGGCAGGTTACGTTGGGTCTTTTAGACACCTCCCACTTTTCTTTCTTGTTGGAATTGTTTGCCTTACTTCCAAAGTTCCCAGTACTTCCACCTTGCCTATGAGTTCCTCTCTGTTAGGGAAGACCAAGACCTTCTGGGTAATGAAATTGTCAGCGAGGCAATGGAGGAATTTGTTGGACCTAATATTCTTGGAAGAGTTTGAGTTCTAACACATATCAGGATAGTTGAAGTCCAGTATGACTACTATATCCTTTTTTAATGTTTGGTAATTTGCCATAGGAAGGCAGCATCCGAGTTTTCACTCTGGCTTGGTGGTTGCTCTCCCTTGTTTCTACTCCAACACTTTTTACCCCTTAGTTTCTGCATTCCAGTCATGAGTCTTATTCAACCATTTCAGTAAAGCCTGTTAGGTCATATTCACCTGTATTATTATCCTTTATTTAGAGCCACATTTGTCTTGCTTGTTTTCCATACTTTGTGCATTGGGGTAGAGACAACTGAAACCACGATTCATTCCCTCAGCTGCTTCCTTCTTGTAGTTTCCTGCCCTTTAGCAAGTTTCTGTGCACCGCCTCAATTTTCTGTGCATCAATGAAGCTATTATCCTCGGAACCAGGTATTTTCCCCTCAATATTTAGTTTAAAGCTCTTTGAACTAGCTGAATCCTTCAATGCAGTTTTCCAAATAACCAGGACTTTTTGTGTCCTTGGTGGCAAAGAAGGGGGGGGGGGGAATGATGTCCAAAAGCTTCTTGTAGGTGAATTAAGGTTTTAATTGACTATTTTCATTGCAACTGATTAACCACTTCAGTTAAAATAAATATTACAATATCTGACACATGTAATTTGTGAAACCTATTTAATGAAGTCCTTTCTGTTTAGAAAAGAATGTGAAACTCATTTCTGATCAGAATATGGAATAAAGATTTCTCACACAATTGGCACCAGCATTTAAACCATTTTTAAAGATGAAGTCTGCATTTAAATCTGCTTTCATAAGCATTTGGCCAGAACAATTCATGTTTTATACATAAGAGGTAAAATTATGATAAGAATTGCACGGAAAGTGTAGAACTTGGCCATTAATGTTTGTGGTTTATTAAAGAAAAAAACTTCATTTAACTGGGATCTTGTTTTGTAATACAACCAGTGGAAAACAATTGATTTCTCAAATAATGTAGGAGTAAAGAATACTAAATAGATCCAATGAGTGGTAGTGTTGTACTGCAATGTTTCCTCTGAGGCCAAAGCAATCCAGAGAGGGGGTCAGCAGGACATGCCCACATAGCTATAATGGCTCTCCATACCATTTTTCTGTTGTGACTTTGGCTCTGGAAAGGTGAAACTTTTCTATTCTTTTTTAAATCTCAGCATCTAACAGTGCAGCTGCAGACAGCAGGGGGAAGAGTTCGGCCAAATTACCAGCCTCCAAGAAACATCTATAAAACAAGAACAAGAACAAAAAAAAAATTACATTACCAATGACAAATCAAAGCTGAAAGTTTGCTTTGCCTGTTGTCATTCATTGCCATTCATATTTAGAAAGCAGACTGCTGTGATAATTGATTTGATGGTCCAGCTTGAGTGGAAGCACTTCTGGGCATAGCAGGCCTCAAAGATGCCAAAAAAGAAGAAAAGGTGGGAATGAAATAATGCACTACTTTCTCCTTAGAGGCATGTGGCCCAGTTTTGAGAGTAGAAAAACATGCCTTAGAAAGGGGGGAGGGGGGGAGAGAGGGAGAGAGAGAAACCCTTAAGAAGTCAGTAATAAAATACAAAAATGACCATATACCCTCAGCTGGATAAAAATAGGCATTCAAACAGAGACAATGAGAGTACATATTTTACTGGCAGGTGAACAATGGAAGAATGCTGTGGAAATAATCTGATTTTTAACGGACCCAGTCCGCAGGAGTACCTTTTTTCCCCTTTTTTTCTTTTGCTATTCTTTGTGTAAGGACAAAAGTGCTTCCCCCTTTATAAAAGGCTTTAAACTTTTTTTAAAAGCTGTTCAAAATGGAATTAATGGCTGAGAAGCCAGGAGAGAGAAAGAGAAAAAATAAAACAATAATTGAGTTTGAAAGGCAGTAAATATGCCCAGGATTATATGAGCACCTATTGAGTTTATTTACTTGGAGCAATATTTGATAATGAAGCTTGTCTCTGTTTGTGAACAGAGGGTGGTATTCATCCATAGCCCCCCTGCTGATATGAATAACTTAGAAAGCTAAAGTGCCAGATGAGGAGAAAATAGATAAAATAGGTACTGAATTCAGTGTCTGACCTCTTAATCGCAATGACTAGCTGAGCTGTTTGCTCTGTCATCAATTCAGAGAATGAAACAAAACCAGATCAAAGATGTGAGTTGTCACAACACAAATTTTATTCAGAACATGTTTGTCTTCAGAAACGAAAGGTTCTTATTTTCTGGCTTCAGTAATGTGGTCTTTTAACTCTGTTGCGCTTCTTTTGTCTTTCTCCTTCTTTCCTTAATCCAAAGTGTTGCTGGAGTTATGCTGAAAAGATTGAGGTGGGGTGTGTGGGAGGCCTTACAGTTTATGCAAGTCTATGAATATGCTAGACTAGTTCAAATAGAAATACTGGTACTTTTAAGCCTGCCCTTTTAATTCTTTTAAAAGGGATACAGTAGGCATTGTGAGCAAGGGATGGAACTGATTTCTCATTTTTCTGTTCGTAAATTCACCACATTGCTGCATAAATGCTCACTGCTGAAAGCATGTTATGAAATTTGTATCCCAAAATCTGGCAGCCACTCTATTGCTTTAACATGTGTATACCCACTCAACTTTAAAATAATCCTATGCTCTCTCCCCCACAGAAAGAATCTAGGGCTCTTGTGTGGAGAATATCTTATTTTAAATTACCAGTATTATCCCTGGCATTGTTTTCTCAAAGA